TACATGTATGTAACATACCTCTTTTGCATCATCAACAGTCATTTCATGTCTTATATGTACTAGATAAATCTGAATTAAGGTCGTAAGTTATATGGATTAAGCATCACACAAGAAAAACTGTTATTTATATGAAGATGGCAAATCATGTGCGTCATAGCTAATACCTACCTGATGAGTAGACAAATGTTGTGCAGAACTGAGTAAGGCATTAGCCAAATGCTTTTTATCTTCATTCAGAGACTGTACTTGTGTCTCAAGGTCCTCACCCATAGACGCGACCAGCATTGTTTTCAACTCTTTATTGACCTGAAAGATAACTTCATTATAAATATTTAAATATAAACTATGATGCAAATTGTACTACCGGTTGTATATTATAGCAATGACCAGCAAAATATTAAGTTTAAAGCACTCTCTGATTGTCTTGGTTTTGTTATTAAATCATAAGTTTTATGTTTTTTTTATGAATTTGATAAGATATTAATGTTTGGTGGATTTTAATGAATATCTTTCTGCTTTGGTGTGTTGTTAATGAGTGAAATATGAAGCAATCAATTTTTTTAATCTGTAAGCCTTTATAAAATAACTGTGTTGAAAATAGAAAGTGTTGTTTTAAAAGTAGTGAGTAACACATGTAATGTTTTATTATTTTCTTGTAAGTGACCAATGCTTAGATGAAATGGATGATATAGACATATAGAAATAATATTAGAATAAAATGTGACATTACACATTGCATGTTCTGTTATAATCATAGAAATAAACAATTTAAAACACACCTGAACTTGCTGTTTCAATTGCTCTTTTAATGATTCATTTTCCTGTGTCAAGCTATCTATCTTTTTTTGCATCTGAACTTTTTCTGGACTGGGTGCATCAACATCTTGACCAGACTTGTCACTTGTAGAGTTCAACTTCGGACGAGGTTTAAATTCATTCAAGTTTGTATTCATCTGAGACATTTGGGTAATCAAAGTATTAATGTCCATATTGTTTCTCGACTTCTTCATTTGTTTTGATGCAATTTGAGGTGTCATAGGCTTCACTGCCGCTGGGTATGGCTCGTAAGGCACAAACTTTGGTGTCTTCATATTTATGGATTTCGTTTTATCGGATTTTATCACTTTAGTAGCGTAAACTTGCACTAATCGAGTAGGCAAAGCACTACCTTTCCTTTCTGGGGTTCTGGTAATATTAGGACCGACATCCTGAACTCTTTCCGACGTGTTTTCGTCAGATTCCATTCCATCACCCGCCGTCCTCGTTTTACTCATAATTTCTACAATAGAGTGATTAATTAGATTATTAAAGTAATCAGGGCATGATAACAAGTACACAATCAGCAAGATACATAAATTAATATACACGAAAGCAGCAGGAAATAGACCAGCTAAAAAGGATGTGCATACTTGGGTTGAAAGTATTGTATAGTTTATCCATCTCTACGAGATAAGAAGTCGAAAAAGTTAGATCATAAAATACAAAATCTACCGACGTTTCAATATCTATAAATGTTTCTTTTCACTTTAATTCTGTTGAATTGTTTTTACTTTTATCACTCATAAAGCAAGTTTTGATTCGTATTCGTCGTCTTATTTTTGTCACTCACTGTCAGCTGATGACATTGACGTTTCACGACAGAAGCAAATGTCAGTGTCAACTGTCAAGACATTCTTTTTGCGCTGGAGTTTAAACTGGCTAAGATATGACACCATTCTGCCTATAACAAGATAGAAAACCTGTTTATTACTAATTTTAGATTTTGACTATAAAAATGTTTTTAAAAGTATGCCAAAGTATAAAACCTTTAATTTTAGTTTACAATATTTTCTGATGACAAACAAATGGTGAATGTGAGATTTATCTCTTTTACTATTAGTACTTTGTTCGTAGTTTCAATGGCATAAGGAAAAATCTTATGAATAGTACCTATGTAAACTTTTGGCATAAATTGAGATACCCTTCTCTAGCCGTTGTTATAGTTCAGTTTCATTTTACTTTGTTTTAAGTAAACATAGATTTACACACAACCACCTTTCCTTCTAACAAACTAGTTACTTTTTACGCTTTCAATAGCAAATAGAAGAAAAACTTATCTGTAATGATTTAGAAACAATATTTATTTATCAAAACCAATCATTTATTGCAATAAATTAAAATACCTACAATGACATAAACATTTCATTAAGGCTTCAAAGTAGCATCTAGTTCTCCATTTGCTTGGAGCTCTTTGATTATGTCTAATCCTCCAACTAGTTCTCCTTTGACATATAGTTGTGGGTAAGTAGGCCAATCTGAATACTCCTTTAGGCCTTGGCGCACCTCTTCATCAGTCAATATATCAAATGTGTCATAAGACACCCTAAAACAAGAAAGGTAAGTATTAATTGGAAAGTAGTTTAGCAACAGTAATAAAAATACTAAATCCAAATATAAAAGTGATAAAAAATTGATCATGTCTATCACTTTTATGTACCAGCAAATTGATTTTTTATCGAGTAACTGACTTAAAATTCCATTGGCATGAATGATTTCAATTATAATGAAATTGATTTGGAAAAATAGTCAACCAATATTTTGTATAGTAGTAGTCTTACCCAGTTCCATTAAGAATTTGAATTAAAGTTTTACTGAAGCCACATCTAGGCTGATCTCTATTGCCTTTCATGAACACCATTACATCATGTCTATTGATCAATGCTTTCAGTCTATCTTCAAGTTTCAAGGGAGCAACATCTCCGAGGGCAGTCTTATTAGCACTGTGAGCTTTTACTTTGGAAGATATTTGTGCCGCATCAGCACCATCCACTCTATCTACCTGTGCTCCATTTCTGAACAAAATGACTGTTGGTACGGAGTCGATCTGAAAATATAATCCATTTTCTTATGAAAAATATGTTTTGGACTTTGTTACCACTGACCTAAACTATTGATCAGCTATTTAAACAAATTTTTAAAAATATATTTGGGGAAGTTTTTACATTATGTACACAGGTGTTTGTATAATATTTTGCATTATCATCCTAATTTGCATGTTAATTATGTGGTTGGTAGCAATAAGGCAAATAATTTTTACCTTGAACTGCAATGAAACTTCAGATAACTTTTCAGCATCACAAATAGCTATTTTGCTACCACTGGATTGTACTTCGGGTAGCTTCGCCAGTTCTTTCAGGACCTCTGTGACTTGCTTACATTGTTCTGCCCAGTCAGCAGAAAAATGGATTACCGTTAAAACAGGTGTTCTGTAATAAATGTAAATAGATTTATTATTATTCAAAGGTCTTGAAACACAAAACTTCCAGATAACATCAGTTCCGTAGGCCAAGCTTAGTCATGCTATCATACTTTTTATCAATAGATATCAGTGTTTTGTTTAGTTCAATAATCTGATTTTATCAGAATAAACAAAACATGTCAAAGTAACTGCCATGAGGCAGGCATGGCAAAAGTAACGTAAGTTATGTTATCTATAGTGACCTTAACAAAAAGGTGAAACATAATTGATAAATCGCTATGAAAAACAATAATAGGTTTTATTGGAAGGATTAACTTAAAGTGATAAATGTTAAAGCCTCTGTAAAAACTATTAAATTATAAAATTGATTATGAACATTCAGTTCTTATAAGAAACAGAAAAAATTAAATGCAACAATTGTACCATCCTTTTACCATCTACTTTTTAATTGGAAGAAAATACAAAATATACTTTACTTACCTAATAAAATTTTGAAAATTTTCGGCTGTGTCTAAACTGGTGACAGACATGATGAGGTTGAATTGGGGTTAAGTTTAACTATCGATCAAAAAGTAATAAAATAAACGGTTGTATCTTTATCCAACTGAAGCGGCACTTTTATCCCGTAACACGACTATCTCTTCTCAATGCGTAGTATCAAACAGGGCCGTCACACTTAGAGACATTGACAGCTTTAAAAATCGGACCGTCAGCTACATCTAGTTTTCGAACCTGAAATTAAATGTTGTCAAATCTTTTTTTTTTTGTTGTCAAAACTAATATTTTCAGTGGCCACACAGTTCCAACCAAGGTTGTAACATTATTTCAAAATTTGGGGTTAAAATTTTTTTTTTTGGAAATAGTACAATAACATTATACACATTTATTTAATACTATATTGCAATTTTTACAAAATAATTCCTTAAACTTAGATCAAATGACAGTTATGCTGGCATAATCGTTCAAAGATGACGGCCTTTTTACTAATAAAGAGATTAAAAAGATATCAAGTGATGAATGACAAACTAAACTCTATGAAGTGACTGCGTCAGGTTTCTGCATCCAAAAGCATTAACCTAAGAGCCTGTGAACCCCAGGTCTAGGCCACCGTTTTTATTATATAAAAACTAATATTATATGAAAATACTCAATTTTCATAGAAAATCTATAAAATAGGTTGTACACATTCTTTCTGTCTCCCTATCACACACACA